GGGATTACAGGCTTGAGCCACTGCGCCTGGTTCATGTTTTTATTTTTTTAGTTTTTGAGACAGGTGTCTTGCTCTGTTGCCCAGGCTGGACTGCAGGCCCCCTGCAACCTCCGCTTCCCTGGCTCAAGCCATCTTCCCACCTTAGCCTTTAAAGTACTGTGCACCACCATGCCCAGCTAATTAAAAAAATTTCTTGTAGAGATGAGATCTCACTGTGTTGCCCAGGCCAGTCTTGAACTCATGGGTCAAGCAGTCCTCCTGCCTCAGGCTGGTGAGTAGCTGGGACCACAGGTGTGTACCATTTCGCCGGCTAATGTTTCCATTTTAGGCATCCTTACTTTGTGGTCTAATGTATCTAGAAGCTGAAGTTCATGGGCCTCCTTGTGTTTCTTCTGACTCCCCTTGGTGATAGATTTTCTTGTGATTTGGAGTTGGATGCTCATGGCCAGCTGGGGGCTCTGTGGGAATCCAGGGTGGCCTACTTTGCAGGCAGTCCTTCCAGATGGTTCCACCTTGGCTTTTGCCAGTCGCCCAGGAGCGCCAGCCCCAGCCCATTTTGTGTGTGGTTCTCGGCTTGCAGGCTCTGTACCTACGTGGCCACCAAAGCCAAACCCCCGATTGCGGGACCCTATGTTTCAGGTTCCCTGTGATATTTCGGGGGCTTCTTTCCTTCCTCCAAGCTTGGTCATGCCAGGTTCTGGAAGGGTGGGCTTTTCCAGTTTCTGGGCAGCAGTGTGGCTGGAATTAGAATTTGGCTGCACCCACTTTTGAACTCATCTTCTGGGCGACCCCCTTCCTTCGATCTTGCCGGTGTTTGGAAACTGCAGATGGAAAGCTTCCCCACCCAGTTCTGCGGCCCTTGGCTGCATGAGCAGGAATGCCTGAGATGTCGGGCTAATTCCTTGGAATGTCCCAGTTCAGGCCAGCCTCTCCCCATTCTTCTGCCAGGCCTTCTTGAGCAGCAGGGAGGCAGCTCTGGAGGGAGCCCCTGCCCTGGTGGTTTCACCCCAGCCATCCCCACTGCTTGGACCTTTGTCCAAGGAGGCTGGGCCGTGTGGCCCCATGGTTAGAGCAGGGGCTTTGCATTCAGGTGGACCTGGGTACAAATGCCAGGTCCGTTGCTTAATTCTGGGTGACTTCAGGCTTTTTTTTTTTTTTTTTTTTTTTTTAAGATGGAAGCTTGCTCTGTCACCCAGGGCTGAGGGCAGTGGTGCCATCTCAGCTCACTGCAGCCTCTGCCTCCCAAGTTAAAGCAATTCTCCCACCTTAGCCTCCTGAGTAACTGGTATGAGAGGCACCATGCCCAGCTAATTTTTGGGTTTTATATTTAATTTTATATTTTTTGGAGACAGAGTTCGTTGTTGCCCAGGCTGGAGTGCAATGGTGCGATCTTAACTCACCGCGATCTCTGCCTCCCAAGTTGAAGCGATTCTCCTGCCTCAGCTTCCGGGAGTAGCTGTGACTACAGGCATACGCTACCATGCCTGGCTAATTTTGTATTTTTAGTAGAGACGGGGTTTCTCCACGTATAGGGCTATTGGGGCCCCACAGGGTCGTGTAGTGTCCCTTATGCTGTGTTGAGGTGCAGGATTTGAGAAGAGACAGGACACTGAAGAACTGGTGAAGAGCATCTGGACTCGGGGGGCCATGCCACCTGTAAGCAGAGATCAGTGACAGCCCCCAAATGCCCCAGAGCATCTATATTTATTAGGTACAAGCAGGGGGCAGGGTCGTGTGTGAGGTCATCATCTATAGGCTTAGCGATAGGGCATACATAATCACGTGAGTCCCAAGCGAGGGGACCACCCCATTATGTCACCTGGGCAGAGAGGTGAGCTGTGTGCAGCAGGGGGCCTTGCTGTGCGTAGTAGTAGAGCGTTGTGTACAGAAAAGGGGTCCACCCGCATTAGGTCACCGAGGCGAGGAGGTGGGCTGTGTGCATCAGGTGTCGTGCACAACACTTCTTTTCTGGGGGCTGGAGACTTTAAAGTATTTCTAATAGAAGGATACTGTAAGCCAGTGCAGTGGGAGCTGACAGATGTGTGCTCTTCTCTTAAGATATTTATGGGAGGATGATTTGAGCTATCACAGAAGTGAGAAGACTGACAGGGTGTACAGCCACCATGACCCGGTCACACCAGAGGGGTTCTTCTCCCTCGGTTACTTCCAGGATCTCAGGCCTGAGGCCTATTTCCACAGGAACTGGATGCAAGGTACTACAACTCCTTTATGAGGAGGAGAGGCTCCTGCTCCAAGCCTGCCATACAGCGTATGCCCTTTCAGGCAGGGATGCCACCGCCTGGGTCTTTGGTCCTTGTCCTGGTCTGGCTGTTTTCCCATGTACTGCTTCTGTTCTGGGCATACATTCTGTATAGGGCATACATAATCATGTGAGTCCCAAGCATGGGGACCACCCCATTATGTCACCTGGGCAGAGAGGTGGGCTGTGCACAGCAGGGGGCCTTGCCGTGCATAGTAGTAGAGGGTCGTGTACAGAAAAGGTCGTGTACACCTGAGTCTTTGGTTCTCGTCCTGGTCTGGCTGTTTTCCCATGTACTGCTTCTGCTCTGTGACTGCTCTGGGCATTCCTCCTACTACAAACTACTATATGGTTATATGGAAGGATTATATAACTCAGCACTAAATGTGTCAGTACGGCTCCGACTACAATACCTATGTGATTATATTGAAAGATTATATAGAACTAAGTATGCTAGATATAAGTATTAAGTATGATTGTATAAACCAGATATGTATAAATAGTAAGTTAAGGCCGGGCGCGGTGGCTCAAGCCTGTAATCCCAGCACTTTGGGAGGCCGAGGCGGGTGGATCACGAGGTCGAGAGATCGAGACCATCATGGTCAACATGGTGAAACCCCGTCTCTACTAAAAATACAAAACATTAGCTGGGCATGGTGGCACGTGCCTGTAATCCCAGCTACTCAGGAGGCTGAGGCAGGAGAATTGCTTGAACCCAGGAGGCGGAGGTTGCGGTGAGCCGAGATCGTGCCATTGCACTCCAGCCTGGGTAACAAGAGCGAAACTCCGTCTCAAAAAAAAAAAAAAAAAAAAAAAAAAAAAATAGTAAGTTATACTTCAGGCACTAGTTCTATAAACTAATATATGATTATATATGAAGGATTTACATGAAGGAAATAGCTGAGTAATAATACTATAAACTAAGATATTCCTCAGGCCCTAATTGTGCCTGGGGTCTGGACGGTTCTCCTCCTCGGTGCCCATGGTGGGTGTTACCCACATCCGTGTTTGTCAGGCTGGTCTCAAACTCCTGACCTCAGGTGATCCGCCCGCCTCGGCCTCCCAAAGTGCTGGGATTATAGGTGTGAGCCACTGCGCCCAGGCTTTTTTCTCCATCTGAAAATTATCTCAGTAAGAAAAACCACAATATGGCTGGGCGAAGTGGCTCACACCTGTAATCCCAGCACTTTGGGAGGCTGAGGCGGGCGGATCACCTGAGGTCAGGAGTTCGACACCAGCATGATCAACATGGATAAACCCCATTTGTATTAAAAATACAAAACTAGGCCGGGCGCGGTGGCTCAAGCCTGTAATCCCAGCACTTTGGGAGGCCGAGGCGGGTGGATCACAAGGTCAAGAGATCGAGACCATCCTGGTCAACATAGTGAAACCCCGTCTCTACTAAAAATACAAAAAAAATAGCTGGGCATGGTGGTGCGTGCCTGTAATCCCAGCTACTCAGGAGGCTAAGGCAGGAGAATTGCCTGAACCCAGGAGGCGGAGGTTGCGGTGAGCCGAGATCGCGCCATTGCACTCCAGCCTGGGTAACAAGAGCGAAACTCCGTCTCAAAAAAAAAAAAAAAAATACAAAACTAGCTGTCGTGGTGGCACATGCCTGTAGTCCCAGCTACACAGGAGGCTGAGGCAGGAGAATCGCTTGAACCCAGCAGGTAGAGGTTTTGGTGAGCCGAGATCGCGCCAACCTGGGCAACAAGAGTGAAACTCCATCTCCAAAAAAAAAGGAAAAACACCGCAACATAATCATCGAGGGAGTCCCCCCCATGGATGGAGCTGAGGTTACTTCCAGTCTTTCTTAACATGAAAGCATCAGATCCCCTGTGCCCTCGAGCAGCTGCTCATCCGAAGAGCTGTTAGCAATTTACACCCACACCAACAGCACAGGGCGTGCATGGGTCACACACCTGTGTGAGCATTTTCTGATTTTCCCCCATCTTGTGGGTGCTTAGGGTCAAGCACCCCTTCGGACAGTCACAAGCTGTTTGCTTGTTTTTGCATTCAACGCTAGGGGAACCGGCTTAAACACTAAGCACCCATTTCTCCTCACCAAGCCAAGTGGGAGGGGTTCTGATGAGCTCCCCTGTACCAGTGAGAGGACTGGGCTCACAGGGCTGAGTGCAGACGCCCCCAGAGCCCGCATCTCACTGTCTGCATCGTGCTAGACGTTACCATGACCTGGATGGCCTCCATCACCCTGTGGGCTCTGACACGCTCACATCCCAGTAAGGGGCTGCAGTTATGGGGGTCTCAGGCCGGCCTTCCCGAGACAGGCGTCCCTGCCCCCTTGTGTCCCCACTCTTGGCTTCCCCTAGGCCTCTCCCTTTTCCTGTTTTGAAGTTGACTCAGCCAGGCCCGGAGACAGGGGTATGATGTCTTAATCCTCCAGGCGGGAGCCACCAAGGAGGGTTCCCGTGGACTCGGTCCCTGCCAAGCCACCCTTCCCAGCACTCGCATCCGTCCCACCTGGCACAGGACACACGTGGGGGCTCCTGAGTCCCAGCACCCTGACTTAGTGGGGACAGACCCCACTGGGGGACCCATGAAGCCCCCGACTCCCGCTCCAGGCAGCAGGCCAGGGTGAATACAAGTTGCCCGCCCTGGCTGCCAGTATAGCACTCGTAAATCAGGGGGTGTCTGGGGTGTCGGAAATGGGTGTGTGGAATGTCGGGGTGGGGTGGGCTGGGGGTGAGCCCTTAATTCTTAGAAGGGTGGGGTATGGGGCAGGAGTGGATGCCTGGATTCCAGGGCGTAGGAGATAAGCTGCTGCAGACGTGGGGCCCTCTGGCCACAGGGGCCGGCAGTGAAGCGGGTAGCTCCCAGCCCCAGCAGGGCATAAATGCGGGGCACACCTCCCACCCTCAGGACCTGCCCATCACAATGGTCGTGGGGAAGGTCCTTCTGGGCTCTGTGCTGCTCCTGTCCCTGCATCTGGGACAGGGCTGGGACCCTGATGCCCGTGGGGCTCCTGTGGCCAATGGAGAGTTCTCGTCTGAGCAGGTGGCAGAGGCTGGAGGAACCTGGCTGGGTAAGGACTCCCAGGGACCCTCTGTGACTTTCCAACTTACCCAGCCCTGACCCTGCTCATTGTCAGCACCCTTCTCTCCGGCAGCCACTCACCGCCCCCTCACCCGCCTGCGCCGAGCCCCGTCCGGTCCGTGTCAGCTGTGGAGCCTGACTCTGTCGGTGGCAGAGCTGGGCCTAGGCTATGCCTCGGAGGAGAAGGTCATCTTCCGCTACTGCGCCGGCAGCTGCCCCCGGGGTGCCCGCACCCAGCATGGCCTGGCACTGGCCCAGCTGCAAGGCCAGGGGAAAGCCCACGGCGGGCCCTGCTGCCAGCCCACCCGCTACGATGACGTGGCCTTCCTGGACGACCGCCACCGCTGGCAGTGGCTGCCCCAGCTCTCGGCGGCTGCCTGCGGCTGTGTCGGCTGAGGGTGCCCAGTCTGGTACCCAGGAGCTTCCGTACTGGAGAAGCCTGGCTGAGTTCTTTATTGGAGACCTGGATGCAGAGACAAGGACGGGAGTGGGCTGGGGCGACCAGCAATGACTGCAATAAAGGACACCACTCTCCTGGCCTTGTGACCTTGACTGTATCCAGCCAGCTGCACCTGGAGCTCCCTGTGGGCCAGTGCCATCCTGGGTTCCCCTGCAGATCCTGGTTCCAGTGAGCAGCCAATGCAATATTGAGTTGTCCATTCCCAGCTTTATTCGCAAATCCGGTGTCTAGAAAGCTGGGGGTCAGCAGGCTGGGGGCGACTGTCCAGATTCCCCTGGCCCCATGCCCTCAGGGAGGGAGCGGCAGATCACAGAGATTCGCCGGCCCCGGGGAATCCGGCGCTCCCCAAAGAAGGATTCTTCGTCGCGAAGGATCTCGTGGGAGAAGTCATAACGGGCTGAACCCCTGCAGAAGAAAACAGGCTGTAACTGGCTGCAGGGAGGACAGCCCCCTATCCAGGCAGACCCAGGTTCCAGCCCCCCACTGCCTCTCACACAAGCCTTGGGGTAAAGGCTGAGTCTTTGGGGAGGGGTGGATTGAGGGAAGGTACCCAGGGCACTGGGTTGGTGTCACACATTCCTGGATGGGTGGGGGCTGCCTGGCTGGAGGTACCTAAGGATGTAGAGGGAGCCTGGCTCCAGCAAGAGTTCTAGCCACTCCCCCGGCTCCTGGGTGTGCACCAGTCGCATAACGCTGGGAGACAGGAGAGACAGGCCAGCGATGGTGGCCCCGCAGAACTGCAAAAGGGAGGAGGGGATGGGTCAGGTTCTGACCTGGCCTGCCCACCCCCGTGCTGGGAGCGCCAAGGCGCCGGCCTCTACCCACCTTGACGCTGTCCACGTGGGGCTTGATGTAGCCCCGAGCTTCCAGGTCCAGCACGTGCACGGAGGAGAGCAGAGTCTGTCCGGGGCCAAAGGCGGCCGCCTGCACACGCTGCAGGATGGCTCGGCTGGCTTCTGACCAGCGCGACTTCTCCGTCTCTCGGAAGCCGTGGATAGCCTACACAAACAGTTTGGTCAAGCCTGGGGGCTCCCAGAGGGAACAGGGACACTGAGGCATGAAGGGGCAGAAAACAGGGCAAGAGGCTGGTTTTCCTAGTGTGACTCTTGATCCTGCCCTCAACTCAAACCCCGCTATCCCCCCAACCATGGCCCTACCTAGGTGTGACCTCAGTCCTTAGTACTCACCCTGAGGCTACAATTCCAAGTCCCCAATGCTTGCTCCAGTATTCAATTGGCTGAGTCTCCATACAACTTGACCCCACCCAAGTGTCCTGTGTCCCTCAACGTCCTCTGATTCCACACCCGTTTCTACCCTTAACCTTGGTCCCAAACACCTCTCAGTTCCAGATTCTGCCTCCAGTTATGGCCCTGGTCTCATCACAAAAGTGCGCTCCCTGACCAAGGTCCTCGTCCCCGAAGTCCCGCCCATCCCACTACCGGAGTTTCAGCCCCGACCCCACCATAGCCCGGCTTCCAAATCCCTGCGCTAGGTACCGCCCCCAGCAAGGCCCTGCCCCATCCAGCACGTCTTCCCCATCCCCACCCACACGGGGCACCTCCCCGGCGTGACCCCAGCCCCGTCCATACACGCTCGACTCCTCGGGCCCCGCCCCTAGAGTGGCCCTGTCCCATCCTGCACTGGTCTCCTTTGTGCCCGCCCCAGCGTGGCCCCGGCCCATCCTTGCACTGGTCTTCCCCTGTTCCCGCCCCCAGCATGGCCCCGCCCCGCCGCTCGTCTCTGTCCCCGCCCCAAATCCTCGCTCTAGGGACCGCCCCCAGCGTGTTCTCGCCCCATCCGGCACTCGGCGTCCGGAGGCCGCGCCCCCTACCGCCGCGCCTCGTCTCACCGCGTCCCAGTGATCGTATTCGTAGCGGCGGCGGCGCAGCTCGGGCTCCAGCTCTCGGCTCAGCGTCTCCTCCTCCGCCACGCTCAGGAACCCAGGCCGCACCACGGCCGCGTCCCGCAGGCGGCTAAGCACCGACGGGCTCGAGCTTCGTACCCAGCTGGGCCCGGGCAGCGTCCGCAGCGCCAGCAGGCCAGTCCCGGCCATAGCCGTGTAGCCCGGTCATGGAAGCGGCCAACGTCGGGAAACGCCCCCGCCAAAAGCCATTGGCTGTAGCTGCGTCAGCCCCGTCCAGCGATTGGCTTCCCTCAGAGTCCCGCCTCTCACTCATGGCTATTGGTTGCTGCTAGACTTGCCTTCACAGGCTATTGGCTTTCTTCTAGAATCGGCCTCCTGTGTTGAGAGCTTATTGGGCGCCACTCCAGAATGGCTTAAACCATTGGCTGAGTCGCAAGTCCGTCTGCAGGTTAGCACCGCCTCTTTACTTATTAGAGGGGAAAGGTACAACGATGGGGTTGCTTGGCGAAGACCTCACAAGGGAATATGGGCGGTATCTGGTCTTTAGTCCGAGGTCAGGGGGATCGGGGCTGGGGCCAAGGCCACGGTTCCGGAGTCGACTAGGGCTAGAGGTTAAGGACAGAGTACAGTCAGGCCGAGATAAGGGGTCCGGGGGTCAGGGGACTGACGTCAAGGCCCCGGTTATGTTTGTGGTGGGGCCAGATATCCAGAGTTAGGGCTTATGGCCAAAGGTCAAAGCGAAGCATCATTCATTTCCCTGTCTCCGTATTACTATTACTTTAAAGATTCCTCAGCCGGCTGCGGTGGCTCATGCCTTGTGTGTAACCCCTCATCTGCGTACCGAGGCAGTAGGGCTAAGCAGATCCCTGGCACAATTAGTGCCTGAAGAGTATTTTAGTTTATAGTGTTACTACTCAGTTATTTCCTATATATATAATCATGTATTAGTTTATAGTCGGAACAATTAGTGCCTGAAGAATATCTTATTATTCAGTTATTTCCATATATATATCTTAGTTCATAGAGGAATGTCTAGAGCAGACACGGTATAGAGCATAAATTAAGGAATAAGCAGCCGTGTGTACATATATAAATATAAAATCATATCTTGCTTCTAGCCGGAGGAACGTTTAGAGCAGACACGGTGCAGTGCATGATTTCAGGGAACAACAGTTATACCAGGACAAGAATCTATGGCCCAGGCAGTAGTGCCCCTGCCTGAAAGGGCACAGACTACATAGCAGGCTGGCCCAGGCGCCAGCTTTCAGTATTGTAAACACACCTGCTGTATAGCAGGTTTGGAGCAAGAGTCACTCCTCCTGTAAGGGAGTTGTAGTACCTTGCATCCAGTTCTTGTGGAAAGCTGGCCTCAGGTTGGCAAGCCTGAGAGCGTCCTAGGGCTTTAAGCCCCTCCGGTATAATCGTGCCTAGGTGGCTGTATACACTGACAGCTCTGTTACTCCTGTACCGACTCAAAGCATCCTCCTATAGAAATCACTGGAAGCTGCCAGCAGGGGCTGTATAACCTATCAGCTCTTTTGCCACTGTGCTGACTCAGAGCATCCTGCTATAGATATCCTTACAAATAGCCTGCCCTTAGATAAGCGATGCTGCACACTGCACCCTCCTTACTGCACACCGTCCACCTCCTTGGTGACCTGATCGGGGTGGACCCCTTGTTTATTGCTGACGTGATTGTCTTGACTCTATCACTATCCTTAAAATGACCTCACTCACTACCCTGCCCCCTAACCTATACCCAATAAATGCAGACGCTTCGGGACGTTCAGGGCCTCGTCTGTCTCTGCTTGTAAGTGGCGTTGTGCTTTCTTTGTCTTTCTGTGTCCTGTCTCCTTATTTCTCAGATCCAGTGCCTCAGCACAGCAATAGGGACACCCCATGACCCTAGTAGGGCTGGACCGTACACACCTGTAATGCCAGCACTTTGGGAGGCCTAGGCAGGCAGATCACCTGAGGTCAGGAATTAGAGACCAGCCTAGCCTGGCCAGCATGGTGAAACGCGATCTCTACTAAAAATACAAAAAATGAGCCTGGCATGGTGGCGCGCGCCTGTAATCCCAGCTACTCGGGAGGCTGAGGCAGAATTGCTTGAACCCAGGAGGCAGAGGTTGTTGTGAGGCGAGATGGAACCACTGCACGCTGGCCTGGGCGACGCAGCAAGACTCTGTCTCAAAAAAAAAAAAAAAAAAAAAAAAAAAAAAAAAAAAGATCCCTCCTATTTTACAAATGCAAACTGAAAAACAAAAAACAAACAAACAAACAAAAAACCAGATGAAAATACCTCTGGAATTTGCTTCTCCATAAATCCAGGCTGTAGGGGCAGGGTTGGATAGGGAAGAATCACATTTGGCTGTGAATTAATTGTTGAATTGGTGTGATAAGTAAGTGGGGTTTCATTACCCTGTTTTCTCTACTTTTGTATATATTTGATTACACTTATTTATTTATTCATTTTTGAGACTGAGTGTCACCAACGGCACAGTGGCACTCTCGGGTCCTAGAGATTTGCAACCTCCGCTTCCCGGGTTTCAGCGATTCCTGTGCCTCAGCCTCCCGAATAGCTGGGATTACAAGCATCGAATCACCATGCCCAACTTTTTTGTTTGTTTGTTTTTATTTTTGAGACAGTTTCACTTTTGTCACCCAGGCTGGAGTAGAGCGGCGCGGTCTTGGCTTACTGCAACCTCCGCCTCCCGGGTTCAAGCGATTCTCCTGCCTCAGCTGGAGAGTCTCCAGTAGCTGGGATTATGGACTGCCACTACCATGCCCGGCTAATTTTTGTATTTTTACTAGAGACAGGGTTTCACCATGTTGGCCAGGCTGGCCTCAAGCTCCTCCCCTCAGGTGATCCATCTGCCTCAGCCTCCCAAAGTGCTGAGATTACAGGTGTGAACCACCATGCCCAGTCTATATTTAATTATTTTTTTACAGAATAAAAAAAATAATAAAATGTTTAATTATTTTCTCCCTCTACTGCCCAGGCTGGAGTACGAGGGCACGATCATAGTTCGCTACCTGGAATTCTTGGGCTCAGGTGATCCTCTCCCCTCAGCCTTTCAGAGCTCTGGGTAATTTTGTATGTATTTTAAACGTCCATAATGAGGCTGGGCGCAGTGGCTCACACCTGTGATCCCATCACTTTGGGAGGCCGAGGCGGGTGTATCATGAGGTCAGGAGATTGAGACTAACATGATGAAATCCCTTCTCCACTAAAAATACAAAAATTAGCTGGGCGTGGTGGCACCTGCCTGTAATCCCAGTGACTTGGGAGGCTGAGGCAGCATTGCTTGAACCAGGGAGTCAGGTTGCAGTGAGCCAAGATGGAGCCACTGCACTCCAGCCTGGCCATAGGGCGAGACTCCGTTTCCCACCAGAGGAAAAAAAAAAAGTCTCTAATAAAAAGTGCAAACACTGTAACTACTGAGTATAAACACCTGCCCCAATGCTTGAATTTTAAAAAATATTGACCCCATTTCTCCCTACAGCTACATTCCGCCCCAACCCTGCTCTCTTTGCTAGCATAATTCCTCGAAAGACTTGTCTGTCTCTGATATGTTTCTTCCCATTCCTTCTGGATCCACTCCAGCCTGGCTTTTGGCTCCCACGGCTCCGGAAATGCCCTGATTTAAGGCGGCCAGTGACATCCACAACACTGAATCCAGTAGCCAGGGCTCAGGCTGACTGTTAATTCACCTACACGCTGATGCCACCTACATTTTTATTTCAACCTCTTGACCCTGACGTCGAGGGACATATCGAGCACCAGGTATGATTATAAGCTATCCAAAATCAGCTTCTGATCCCCACCCAAGTCTGTTCCTTTTTCTACACTTCCATCTCAGGTGATGGGTCTCCATCTTCCTGACTGGTTTGGGCCATCAGCTCGGAGTTTTTGGAAATTGCTCTCTTACATCCCACCTAGCTAGAATCTGACTTTTTCTTGCTACTCAGCCAGAGCTGCCATCAGCTTTCATCTGGATTACTCCAGCTCTGCTAACTGCTCTCGTTTCTGTTCATCGTGCACTCCTCAGGAGTTGTAGTCATCCTAATTTTTTTTCCGCTTCTCTCTCTACGGTTCACCTCTCTCCTTTTAGGAGTCAGGACTTCTATGATCTATCCTCCTCACTCACCTCCACTTTTTTCTTTCTTGAGACCGAATCTCGCTCTGTCGCGCAGGGTGGAGTGCAGTGGCGCAATCTCAGCTCACTGCCACCTGTATCCCGGGTTCAAGCGTGCCACCACACCTGGCTAATTTTCTCTTCTACTTTCTGATCTCATCTCTTACACCCTCCCTCAGCCCCGGGCCTCCTTGTGGGTCCTCTCACATGCCAGGTACAGTCCTTTGACAGGGCCTTTCTGCTGGCTGTGTCCTCTGCCTGGACACAGGCTCTATCCCTCACCTCCTTTGAGACTTTGCTCAAACACCGCCTTCTCAGTGAGGCCTCTCCTGACTAACCCATGTAAAACTGTAACACGCTCACCTCACATCTGCATGCCCTTCCTTGTTTCCGTTTTTGAAAGAGTCTTGCTCTGTTGCCCAGGCTGGGGTGCAACGGCGTGATCCTGCTCACTGCAACCTCTGCCTCTCGGTTCAAGCAATTCTCCTGCCTTAGCCTCGGGAGTAGCTAGGATTACAGGCATACGCCACCATGCCCAGCTACTTTTTGTATTTTTAGTAGAGATGGGGTTTCACTGTGTTGGCCAGGCTAGCCTCAAACTCCTGACAAATGACCTACCCACTTAGGCCTCCCAAAGTGTTAGAATTACAGGCGTGAGCCACTGAGCCCGGTCCCTGTTTTTTGCGTTTTTTGAGACAGTTTTTTTGCTCCTGTTGCCCAGGCTGGAGTGCAATGCCATGATCTTGCCTTACCACAACCATTACCTCCTGGGTTCAAGCAATTCTCCTGCCTCAGCCTCCTGAGTAGCTGGGATTACTGGCACCTGCCACCACGCCCAGCTTAATTTTTTGTATTTTTAGTACAGATGGGGTTTCACCATGTTGGCCAGGATGGTCTCAAACTCCTGACCTCAAGTGATCTGTCCACTTCGGCCTCCCAAAGCATTGGAATTATAGGCGTGAGCCACTGCACCTGGCCTCTTTTTTTTTTTTTTTTTTGAGAAGGAGTTTCGCCCTTGTTACCCAGGCTGGAGTGCAATGGCGCGATCTCGGCTCACCGCAACCTCCGCCTCCTGGGCTCAGGCAATTCTCCTGCCTCAGCCTCCTGAGTAGCTGGGATTACAGGCACATGCCACCATGCCCAGCTAATTTTTTTGCACTTTTAGTAGAGACGGGGTTTCACCATGTTGACCAGGATGGTCTCAATCTCTCGACCTCGTGATCCACCCGCCTCGGCCTCCCAAAGTGCTGGGATTACAGGCTTGAGCCACCGCGCCCGGCTTTTTTTTTTTTTTTTTTAAATAACTCTACCCCGACAGGAATGGAGCCTTTGAGGATGGTTTCTTGTGTTTTCTTCACAAAAGAACACTGCCTGGAATACAGGACATGATCAGGAGAATCTGCTGAAGGAAGGGATGGCTTGCTTGCCTCTTGGGGTCAGGACAAGTGCAGAAGGGGCGTGTGGAACACGGACGCATCCACGCTGTCATGGTGCAGAGAGGGAGGGCGTCTCAGACGCAGAGCAAAGACCACAAAGATTTAATTTAAAATCACAGTGTCTCCGCCAGAATGCCCCGTCCGTAGGGGGCACCCTTGCAAATTCAAAGTTCCTCAAGGAGTCCCTCCAGGTTCAGCAGCGAGGGGTAAGCAGGGCCCAGCTGGGGGTCTGGGCGGCCCCCGGCCCCTCCATGTGATTCTGGAGACGAGGCCCAGCTCTCAGGTGCTTGCTGGGACAGGGTCTGCGGACGGCGCCGCTACTGCAGGCTCCTTCTCCACCAGCGTGGGCTCATCTTCACCGTCCTGGGGAGGGTGGACGAGAACCTTGTCTAAGATGCCGAACTCCTGGGCCTCCATGGGGCTCATGTAGCGGTCCCTCTCCATGGCGGACTCTGGAGGGGAAGCAGGAGGCAAGACACATTAGGGGAAGAGCAGAGACCGGGGCCAGGTTGGGATCCTGTTTTGGCCTGAATGTTTGTGTCCCCCACCCCAAGGTCATATGCTGAAGCCCCAACCCCCCAGTGGGATGGGATTTGGAGATGGGGTTCTTGGGAGGTCATTAGGGGGAGACGGGGTCAGGGGCCCCCTGGTGGGATTAGTGGCCTCTAAGTGGAGACACCAGTGCGCTTGTTCTGTCTCCATGTGAAGACACAGTGAGAAGGTGGCCGTGTGCACACCAGTAAGAGAGCCCTCACCAAGAACCCATCAGCCGGCACCCTGACCTTGGGCTCCCCAGCCCCCAGAACTGAGGAGTCAATCTCTGTTGAAGCCACCCAGTCTGTGGTGTTTTGTTAAGTAGCTCAAGCTGACTAAGACATGTCCTCATTCTGCAGTGCCTCAGTTTCCCTGAGGTATCACTTAGAGACCACTTTCAATTTTAAAACAATTGTTATCAGGCCAGGCAGAGTGCCTCACACTTGTAATCCCAGCACGTTTTTTTTCTTTTTTTTTTTTTTTGAGACGGAGTTTCGCTCGTTACCCAGGCTGGAGTGCAATGGCGCGATCTCGGCTCACCGCAACCTCCGCCTCCTGGGTTCAGGCAATTCTCCTGCCTCAGCCTCCTGAGTAGCTGGGATTACAGGCACGCATCACCATGCCCAGCTAATTTTTTGTATTTTTAGTAGAGACGGGGTTTCACCATGTTGACCAGGTTGGTCTCGATCTCTCGACCTCGTGATCCACCCGCCTCGGCCTCCCAAAGTGCTGGGGTAATCCCAGCACTTTGAGGGGGCCGAGGCAGGTGGATTACTTGAGGCCAGGAGTTTGAGACCAGCCTGGCCAACATGGCGAAACCCTGTTTCTACTAAAAATACAAAAATTAGCCCAGTGTGGTGGCACATGCTTGTAATCCCAGCTACTTGGGAGGCTGAGGTACGAGAATTACTTGAACCCGGGAGGTGGAGGCTACAGTGAGCCTAGGTTGCACCACTGCACTCCAGCCTGGGCAACAGAGCGAGACTGTCTCAAACAAACAAAAAAAACCTGATGTTGATGTGTAATATACATCCAGGAAACGGCATGATTCCTAAATGTCTGGTGGATGGATTTTCAGATTGAACATATCCTACAGGACCAGCATCCATACCAAGAGATGGAATATTCCAGCACCCCCAAAATCCCACTTGGGCCCATGACAGTCACTAGTCCTTTCCACCTGCTCCCCAAGCTCCAATGTAACCACTACTCTACCAGCATAAATTAGCTCTGCCTGTTTTTTTTTTTTTTTTTTTTTTGAGACGGAGTTTCGCTCTTGTTACCCAGGCTGGAGTGCAATGGCGCGATCTCGGCTCACCGCAACCTCCGCCTCCTGGGCTCAGGCAATTCTCCTGCCTCAGCCTCCTGAGTAGCTGGGATTACAGGCATGTGCCACCATGCCCAGCTAATTTTTTTTGTATTTTTAGTAGAGACGGGGTTTCACCATGTTGACCAGGATGGTCTCGATCTCTTGACCTCGTGATCCACCCGCCTCGGCCTCCCAAAGTGCTGGGATTACAGGCTTGAGCCACCGCGCCCAGCCAGCTCTGCCTGTCTTTATAGTTTCAGTAAATGGAATCATAGAGTGTTTATTCTTCTTTCATGCAACATTAGAAAGTTTCATCCATGATGCTGTGGCCCAGTCACTCTTTTTTTGTTGTTGTTGAGACAGAGTCTTGCTCTGTGGCCCAGGCTGGAGTGCAGTGGTGTAATCTCGGGTCACTGCAACCTCTGCCTCCTGGATTCAAGCAATTCTCCTGCCTCAGCCTCCCTAGTAGCTGGGATTGCAGGCGTTCGCCACCACGCCTGACCAATTTTTGTATTTTTAGTAGAGATGGGGTTTCACTATGTTGGTCAGGCTGGTCTTGAACTCCTGACCTCAGGTGATCCGCCCACCTCAGCCTCCCACAGTGCTGGGATGACAGGTGCCCACCACCTCGCCTGGCTAATTTTTAGACAGGGCTTCACCATGTTGGCCAGGCTAGTAGACCATTCACTCTTGGTGCTGTGTACAGCACGTGAAGAAACCCACCTTTTGTGCACCCATTTACCTGACATGGGGCAGTCTGGGGCTTCTTTTTTTTGAGACGGAGTCTTGATCTGTTGCCCAGGCTGGAGTGCAATGGCACGATCTCAGCTCACGGCAACCTCCACCTTCCAGGAGAGGAGGCAGTTCTCCTGCCTCAGCCTACAGAGCAGCGGGGATTACAGGCACCCACCACCATGGCTGGCTAATTTTTATATTTTTAGTAGAGATGGAGTTTTGCTATGTTGCCCAGGCTGGTATTGAACTCTAGGCCTCAAGTCATCCACCTGCCTTGGCATCTTAAAGTGCTGGGATTACAGGCATGAGCCACCAGGCCCAGCGATATTTTTAAAGGGCTTAGAACAGTGTTTCTGAGGCAATTCTGCCCACCAGGAAACACTTGGTGATGTCCGCAGACATTTCTGGTTGTCACAGATGGTGGGTGCTGGTGTGGATGGGTGGAGGCCAGGGATGCTGCCACACATCCTGCAGTGCCCAGGATGGTCCCCATCCCAGAGAGGGATCCAGCCCTGAATGTCTGAAGAGCCCAGGTGAAGCCCCAGCCTGGAACAATGCTGGGTCGGTGTGTGCATGCTGGGTAAGGGGGGGTGCTCACCGATCACCTGCAGGCTCTGTTTGGTGTGCTTGGCGT